AAAAAAAAAGTTCCAATGGAATCTCCTCGAATGGGTTAACAATGTTACTCTCAAAGAATGGTTATTAAATAAAAATTAAAGTACAAGTCATGGGTTAATTTTTCATGAGTTTACTCAGAAAGGCCGTATAAGTTGCTAAAAACCAGCACAGACTACTGCCATTGTCTTGGTTATCTACCATTACTACACAGTAAGTCACCATTGCTGAAACACCACCCATTTCAGTGGTATGATATAGAAAAACCAATATTAAGTGCTTGCTTCATCAGCACATATACTAAAAATTTGGAATGATACAGAGAAGATTAGTATGACCCCTCGGCAAGAATGACACACAAATTTGTGAAGTGTTCCATATTTTAATATGTTCTTTGTACTAAAGAAAGAAAGAAAGAGAGGGAGGGAGGGAGGGAGGGAGGGAGGGAGGGAGGGAGGAAGGAAGGAAGGAAGGAAGGAAGGAAGGAAGGAAGGAAGGAAGGAAGGAAGACAAATATTAAAATGGGTGCAAAACTTCCTTCTTCCTGGGTAGCTATAATAGTAGCCGAGGTGATGAGGGAGAAAATGCAACAATGATCTTGCTCAGGGCTGGACTGTGCATGCTATAATACTGACCTGCTAAGCAAGATCTGCTGACTTGTGCAATATTGACATAATTGTTATGGGATAATTAACCACTCTCTGACTGGATCTGAGATTTGCTTCAGAGGAGGAATTCCATGGCTGGGGAACACATAGTCTTTCTGTAGAATTAACGATATTTTGCTAAGAAGAAATGCTATCAAATTGCCTTTTAAATACCTATGTTCATATCCATATTCCTGGGCTGCTCTTAGCCTTTGCCTGAGCAGCTGTTTTGTTTTTGTTGCCGTTGCACATCAGTCAATGGAGAAAATCCTAATTGCTTCAAGTGTTAAAAATAACAGATAGATTACTCAGCCATAAATGAAACATCTTCATTAACTCTACCACCACTACCACCAAGGATCAGGAAACAACATGGAAGGGTGGAGCAGGAGGAAAGAATATAGGAGCTAGGAAATGGGGAAGAGCTCTGTGAAATGCTGTCTTCTGACATAACTACCATACTCATGATCTCATAGTGTCTCTGGCTACCTATGCAAGACCTGTATAAGACCAAGGTAGCCAAAGTCCCAGCCTAGATGCTATAGATTATCTCCAGGCCCTACCACATATTGATGAGCTATTTGTAGTGGGTAGCTGTTCCAGCTTTGACCTAGAAGTACTACTCCCATTGAGGCTTTGGTAACTGTCACACCTACAAGGCAGAGCTGAGACAGGAGCCCTGAAGACCCGGGATCCAGATGTGCCGTTGCTCTTGGTTCCTGGATCCTGGACACTGAAAGTAGACAGAGCAGAATTCTGGGCCCGATATTAGTTGAAATATTAAGGCAACTCTACCTAGTTAAAAGGGAGGTTTATTTTGTGGGGTAAATTACAAGTGAAGGGATAGGTTACAGGGTCTGGGAAAGGTGAAGCACTGTCCAGCGGTGTTCTCTGGAGAACTCTTATCAGTATACCTCCAACATCCAGGATCCAGGAACCAAGAGAGCTAGCACATCTGGATCTCGGGTCTTTCAGAGTTCCTGTCTTGGCTCTGCCTTGTAGATGTGACAGTTATCGAAGCCTCAATGGGGGTAGTACTTCCAGGTCAAAGCTGGAACAGCTACACGTTACAGGTATTAGTAGTGGATAGTTGCTGAGGAGGCAGAATCATTATTTTCTGAAATTGTGGGCACTGGTTGAGTTTTTCATACTCCAGAGGATGGCTCTGGTGTACCAATGTGGGGCTCTCAAATTGCCATAAAGCCTAAACAGTTTAAAAAGATCCTCTAAACACAAAAAAACCTGGAGCCAAAAACAGCTTCCCAGTAGTGTCTCAAGCAAGCCACAAGCTACAGTATGGCTGGTTCACAGCATGTGGGCTTGAGCTAATGCATGGTGGATTCCCACTGAGTTACACAGAGGATACTCCAAGCCATGCAGTGCACCGTGTGCCATAGTTAGCTTTTGCTAATACAGAAAATGTATTGATAGAGGCATACTGCTTCCAAGAGTTGGTGGTGTGTCCATGGCTCCCAGAGCTGGCAGTAAATATACTACTACCACCATATGGGGAAGCTGAAATGGCAGAGTCAGCAGCCAAGGCTGCTGCTTCAGTATTAGGCACTGTGGTTTAAGGCAATAGTTTCACATTAAGACAGATTCATTTATAAACTCTGAACAGTTTACAATGTGTGTAAAATGTACGTAGGCTTGGAAGAGAGAGGAAAATGAATATAGACAGTTATATAAAGAAATAGTTTTTTAAAAAAAGTCTTTAAAGAGAAATTAAAAGTAATACAAAAAATAAGTCACATGAAGATGGAAATCACACAGTCTGGATTGTGTTGTCTTTCAGATTTTTAACTGCAGAAAGACAATTGTGAAGGCTGCAGAGTTAAACCAATATGTATATTTTAAAGGTATCCTGGCTTCAAAATTTGGATCTAAAGATATGTTGCTTTGGAAAGGAGGCTCTGCTTTTGTTTCCACAGGAAGCAAGAGGCTATGGATTTGTTCCAGGTTAAGATGGATCAGATTTGATCAAGCTAGACCTCCTGAACCTTAAGAGATGGTGTAGCTAGAGTTTTCCGCCTTGCCCACAGTCAGGACAAATCTTTGTCACCCGCCAGTCCCACAGCCGCTCAGACCCAACAAAGTAAACACAGAGACTTATATTGCTTACAAACTGTATGGCCGTGGCAGGCTTCTTGCTAACTGTGCTTATAACTTAAATTAATCCATTTCCATAAATCTATACCTTGCCACGTGGCTGGTGGCTTACCGGCATCTTCACATGCAGCTGGTCATGGCGGCGGCTGCAGTGTCTCTCCGCCTCAGCCTTCCGCTTCCCAGAATTCTCCTCTCTCCTTGTTCCACCTACTTCCTGCCTGGCCACTGGCCAACCAGTGTTTTATTTATTGACCAATCAGAGCAATTTGACATACAGACCGTCCCACAGCAAGATGGTACCTGTCAACAAAGGTTATAGCCAGTCTTCCCAAGACTTGAACATTATCTCAAATTTGCACAGGATCCCCCTAAGATTGCCAGCACCCTCAACCAGCAGGAAGTAGTATGAGAAGCTATGCCCAAATTCCCAAAATATTGTTTATGAATGTATATTTTTATTTAAAGGGAGTTGGTTATAAACATAATCTCTTTCTAAAGAAAATGGGGCAATATATATATGATAGGATAAAAGGGTAGATTATTGAACTTACTTTTAAAGAGCAACAACTTGTTTAAAATGTTTTACATTGCTATGGATTTTAGTTTATGGATACAAATTTAAAGTTGATTTTGTATATGCATATGTATATTTCTACTCTTGTTTAAGGTATTATGTTATGCAATTTATTTAAAATTGTAATGTATAATTAAGAAATACAGATTAATAATTAGTCATCTGTGATAATCAAAGTTATAGTCATGTTAGTTAAGATTTCTGGGCATATATAGATATATGTCAATTAGTTAGGTAATCTTCAGACACTTCAAGGACCAGAATATGGCATTTAAAATGTTTTAAAACCTTAGATTTTCCTGAACAATGAGACACGTCTGCTCCTGGCAACACCAATTTACTTCAATATACTTTTATTTTGAACAGGGTAGAGTTAATATGTAATAGCAATCTCGATGAGGAAATTTTCTCTTGAGCCTAAGGCTTTTTTTAACTTTTCCATGGATATAATAAAATAGCCATTGAAATAATAGTCAGACACCTGGCATGTTGCTATGGTTCCAGACGTGAGAGAAGTAAGTTATTTGAGAAAGTCAGCTGAATGGGCATATTGGTGTCAGTTATTCATTTGCAAATTTCAAATGGAGAGTACTTGCTGTACAGAACTGCTAAAAAGGAAATTATATATATACATACGTGTGTGTGTGTGTGTGTGTGTGTGTGTGTGTGTGTGTATGATGCACAGTTGCTTAGTGTGGGAGGATTCCACACATAATCTATGGATAAAATTAAGGATTTAACTATTTATCTAAGCTTGAAAGCAATATGCAACATGCAATAACATTGATGCATTCTATTTAGCGTTTATTGCAGTTGTTATGCATATTCTTTTTTTTTTCTTTTTAATGTGTTAGAGGCCATTCTGTCAGGAGACCAAATTATGGCATTAGCTCTTTAACCTTTGTTTTCTAGCTGTTTTGTTCCTACACAGAAGGTCTAGATTGATTTTTACCTATTGTTCTATTCATCAACACATGACAGCTCAAGGCAGGAAACAATAGGAAAAGAAAATATCAAAAAACAATCCAACAATAGATCCAATTTTTGTTTTGCTGCAAACTTTCCCAAAGGAAGAAAGCAGAGAAGATGCCACTTTTGGCATGGTTAATGTTTGCCTTCCTAATCATTCTTTTAGCATGATTCTCCCTGGTTCAATTTAGCCCGGATGGGATTCTCTATAATGGTCATTAAATTTCAAAGTACTGCACAATTAAGGATTAGTTAACTATTAGACCATGTAATGCTACTCTGATTTATGCAAGCTTCATTAAAATCTTTTTCAGTTAAGATCTGAAGGGGATATGAAATGCATCAGATTTGAGAATTCAGATCAATTTAATGAGACTTTCCCTTTCTTGAATTTCGGCAATTTACTATGATGGTGCTACATATTTCAGAGAATATACAGGGACATAAAAGGTTAGTAGTGATGTCAGAGGAAAAATTTAGTATTTAAATATGACAAAGGGGATTAAACATATAGCCAAGCAACATGCACATATGTATACCAATAACATAGTGAGAGAACAGAAAGGTTCGATGTAAAATGCACTGGACAAGTCATGTAAATGCTCTAACTTTAAAGTACACTGACTGAACTTTAGATTCTTTATTTTTACTGCTGGATAACAAATTATGTGAAATGTAACATGTATCTAATGCAATATGTATCCAATAAAACTTGATTCTACAGGTCAGCAGGTGGTGTAGGCTTTACAGGATTCTGTTTAGTTTTCCAAAACTGTAAAAAAAAAAAAAAATTACAAAAAAGGCAGGGTGGGGGATGTCTTCTCTGGCCACACTCTTATCAGTGAAGTTTGTTGAAGGGAACCCTTCCGTGATCAGTCAGGGAATTGAAGTTGTTTGAGACTGAAGACTGGTAACTCTTTCCTTCCTGGCTGTGACTGCAGAGCCCTTCTTCTTCACAAGTCCTTGTGTATTGTTTCTCATTAAGTCACTCAAGCGCTGTGTAGTCATGGCAGTTTTGGCCTCAGGTTCCTAGTGCACCAAACTTTCCTTTGCTCTTTGCTCTTCCTCACCTGGGGAACTTTCAAT